TTTTGCAGTCATCCACGTTAGCCTCTTTTCATGGTCTTCAAGGCACCAGATTATGGATTCTCACAGTTTTTGCTGTCGCTCTGATTTGAGATTTTCAGCCTATGATGATAAGAAGGCCTATGGCCGGCCTAAAAAGTCACAGGCTGCAATTCAGTGACTAAATTTAGTAATCACATTTGACCAGCTCTACAGCATATCTTGTACACTTGATTGAAGAGAAGAACAGAGCTGTTGACTGATCACCACTTGATGGTGGCAGGGCAAGAGGATGCCAGTGTATGTATATACTAATATTACAATGTTGGGCCTATACTTTATTTTGTGATAGAGGTTTCTACTTGAAAGGTCTAAAGCGATAAAAAAGACAAATGAGTAAAACGCTGTTTTAAGTCAGTTTAAGTCATGCAGTAAGAAAAAAGAGATGAATGCATGTAGATCTGAGAATCTTTAAGCTCACAGCAACTGGGTTAGTAACCTTGACGACTAGGTTGAGCCCACAAACCACGATGGTAATTTGAACCTAGTGTCTGCTCTGATTTCAGTGATACATTATATACTGTATGGTCTGCTTATTATTTACATTAAATTATTTGATGTTATTGGTGTATCCTCTATTTTCATACATTCATTCATACAGAGAGAAGACTTCATCTTTAATTACACACATTGACCAGCAGGTGGAGACAGCTTGCCATCAGTACATATTCAAGTTTTAATATGAGCATCATTAATAAACACATTTGTTCTGATGTACAGAAACAACAGCAGTAAATAAAGACCGGAGCAGGAGAAGATGTGACTAATCTGCCAGGACAAACCAAATTCAGAAAGATAAAAAACAGACTGAACAATTGTTCGATAAAGGACAATGTTACTTTGATGTCATGCCAACAGCTGCTGTATGAACAAAGGAAGTGGTTCATGATAAAGGGAAGTTTGGATCCACTTGTGTGTGATGAGGCTGGTGCCAGTGTTTTTGTGACAGCAAAAAGCACGAGCTGAGACGTGGAGTGAGGGCAACGAGACAGGTGGTGGTGCATGTGTCGACCGGTGGGGAGGCTTTAATGAGAGAGGTGGTGAGACACTTGAAACAGGTTCTGAGACAGGTTGTCAGGGTTTAATTAGCCAATCACAGTGGGGATTAGCTCTGTAAACATCCAACAGAACACAGTCAGGATGAAGACGACGCTCACCTGAGAGACAGGCAGAGAGACAGCTTTAATATTTAACATCCAGTCCGTCAGGTGTTTATCACGATGTTATAATGTGACTCACAGATGTTTCCTCCAACTTCATACAGATGTTGAACTGGACTGATCAGAGAAAAACAAAGACAGAAGGAGAAAAACAGGGATGGTAAATAAAAGTCAGTTTTTCCTTCAGTGTGGGGACCATAGGTGTGGATCTTCACAGAAGTCGGATAAATGTGCATCTATGTGTGAGAGAGATTTTGTCACCTGTTCTCACACTCGAAGCGGGACGTTATGTCCTTGGCTGTTGTCTGTTCCTCAAGTTGTATCACCATGGAAATCTTGGTGTGTAGAGGAGCATGAACTCTGATCACACCTTCACACAGCTCTGTGATCTGCAGAGACACAAACAGAAAGCACGCTGAACCCGGACTCTGTCCCGCATGCCTGTGGTCTTTGACTAACCTTGTTTCTTAGTTGATTCTGGACTCTATCTCCTTTGGTCCTGACCTGTACCAAACCTGATTTCTCTCTCTTCTTATCTGTTCTCTGTCTCACCTTGTTTTAGTGCCCATCTCATGCAGTTCTTGGTCTTTCCAGGTCCTAGTCTCTGTCTTCCTTGGCCCTGGTCTCTGTCTCACCTGATCTCTTTCATTCTTGTCATTCTTCTTCCTCAAAAGTCTACTGGTCCAGCTCAGGCCAAGCTGTTTCTGAATGGACACCTGGTTCATCTGTCTCACCTGAGACAGTAGAAACTTGGGGACCTATCAAAGAGAACGAGACGTCATCGGGGGTTAGGGGCACCGAGACT